AAGACCTGTCTTCAGAGTAATCGGTGGTCCTGATCACGATTGTGACACTTGTTTACGTCAGTGCCACCTGGCAGAGCCCAACAGCTGGGTCTGTGAATAGTAACGAAATCAAAAGGAAAGAGCAGTTTTGTTTCGTAAACAATGAAGTGTTGAGTTTTTCGTGGACGTTTTTGTTGGGCCAAAGTATTATAGACAGACATGAACTCAAAAAATAACAAACTGTGGAGGAGCAGAATTTTGCCCCAGTGGGGATCCGAACCACCGGATGAACTTTTTTCAAAAAATGAGAAGAATGAACTTTTCTTTTCTCTTATGTGCCCCTACATTGAGCAAAAACCGTTTTCAAAAAGCGCACCACACCCTGAATGTCCTCTCTTGAAAGTTTGCTTCTTCCTAACTCGCGCAAATTTTTAAAGTAAACCGAAATACGAGGCATGAGTGCCCAACTCAGCAGGAAAACGGTAGAGGTACTCTCAACGAGAGGGCTTCTCAAGGGTCAAGGGTCTGAACTGTCTGTGAGTTCCAAAGCAAACGAATGAGTGCACTGCAAAAAAAAACAAAAGAAGAAATTCAGATCACGCAACTACCTTCTTCTACCCTTCCTCTGACCAGTACGATATTGATTAGCCATGGCTAAACTTCTCCGGAATGTGGCCGCTTCAGATGCACCAAACTTGTAATATGTATTGCTCTATGGGACACTTATTCTCAGATTTATTCAATAGGTAGAGCGGGCAAAGGTTTGACGGTTAAAAACTTTTTTGAGGCCAGTAGCGACTGAGCGACTTTGACATGCAGAAGCAGAGGCGACGACGGTGCATTGATATCGTCGACATCGGAAGAAGTTGTATATGTCGCGCCGGAGTTCCTTGTTGAACATCAGCAGAGAGAACGGTGGTATACTGACCATAACGTCATTCAGCCAATAATACTGGAAAAATACATTGTCAATAAAGGTGGCTCACAATAGTAATAGAGCCACATGCTAGTATAATATCCTGCACTTGAGATTGCTGAGTGGATGCTACAATGCCATTCAAATGAGACAATCGGAGGAAAATGAATTTCCCAGTTGGGCCAATCTTCCTGAGCGTCGTACTTGACCCCGTATTGGAACCATTTAGCGCCAGCGCCGAAAACGAATGTCGTCTCCTTGATTACGGCGTCGAATTACCCTTATAAGCGGTTTGGACGAAGACAAACAGAGGGTCTGTGTAGTAGTAGTAGTTCAGTAGTACCGAGGCATTTAATGCAGCAAAAATTGGAGGAACAGTGAACTGGCGAAAACCTAGGTAGAATGGACTCCGCGGTTAATTGGTTATTTGAAAAAGAAATACGCACTCCGAAAAAAAAGTGGTGTGTCCCTAGCAAAATCAGAATTGTTCCGTCGCATTGCCTCCCCTTCCATAACGCATTTCACACTATTTTCTGATGCATAAAGCTTTTCTCGCAAATTTGCACGTGAAAAAGCGCGCGAAAGCTAGGCGAACACACAACAATTTTCCAGCGTTTGTATAGCGGAACATACGCCGCGCAGAAAGCCCCTGTTCTGGAAAACGTTCGTTTTTAGTACAGGTGTGAGCGAATGAAGACTGAAGGGTGAGGCTGAACAGCAAGGAATCACAAATATCTGCACACGAGGCAAAAGAGATATTACAATGCAAGAAAACGCTTTAATTCTCCAGCCACTTCACTTAGGTCGTAGCAAAAATAATGACCGTTTTCGCACCTGCTATGTTCCACTGGTTTGATTCATTGGAAACTTAGACAAACATTATAATTTTATATATCGTTCGAAGCACATTTTTCAGGCTATGGTACGAACTTTTTCCCGTTTCTCTGCCACCATTTCGAGTTTTGGTCAGCCGCGAATGTTGTCAAGACGCGAAATCCGACTCATCATGCTTCACGAGTACAAACTCGGCCGTAATGCTGCGGAAGCAGCTAGGAATATCACCAACGCATGGGGCGAAGGTACTACAAATGAGCGCACCACGCGTAGGTGGTTCGACAAATTCCGAAATGGAGACTTCAACCTGGAAGATCAGGAAGGGCTTCAACCTGGAAGATCAGGAGGGACGCGGTCGGCCATCGGAAGTTAAAGACGACGAATTGAAGGCACAGATAGAAGCCAACCCAAGAGCATCCACAAGGGAAATTGCTGAAGAGCTGGGAGTTGACTTCGGAACTGTAGCACGTCATTTGAAGAAAATTGGGAAGGTAAAAAAACTTGACAAGTGGATCCCGCATGAGTTGACTGAGCACCAGCAATCTCGTCGTCTCGAAGTCTGTTCGTCTCATCTTTTGCGGAACAAAAACGATCCTTTTCTGCAACGCATTGTGACGTGTGACGAAAAATGGATTCAATACGACAATAGACGACGGTCAGGACAGTGGTTGGATCACGACGAAGCTCCTAAACCAAAGCCGGAGTTGCACCAAAAAAGGTCATGGTTACTGTTTGGTGGTACGGTTGGTTTTCATCCACCACACCTTCCTTGCTCCAGAAGAAACCAACACAGCACAGAAGTACTGCGAGGAAATCGAAAAATACACTAAAAATTCGGAATCGGATTCAGTCGGCATTAATCAGTAGAAAGGGCGTGATCCTACTCCATGACAGCCCGGCCGCATGTTTCATTGATGACAACAAAAAACTGATGGAGTTGGAATATGAAACTGTGGACCATCCTTCGTACCCATCAGACCTTTCCCCTACGGACCATAACTTTTTTGAGCATCTTGAAATTTTCTTACGCGAGAAATGCTTCCGAAACCAAGACGCCGTAGAAAAGCCATTCAACGATTTCGTTGATTCCATAACTCCAGAATTTTCTTTATGGTTGGCGATCTCATATCTAAACTAATACCTTCTCATTGGCAGGAGTGTATTGATTCTTTTTGTCTTTACTTCGATTGAAAAGCAACACTTTGAAGCGAGTTATGATATTTTAAAATATTTGCTTCAAGACGGTCATTATTTTTGCCACGACCTAATATTACTGTAATTAACCTGCATGGATACCCAAGAATTCAATGCATCATTTCCAGTCATGGTTGCAACTCCTTTCAATATCTGCTGTGAGCACATCAACGTAGTGAAGAAAAACACAATTGTTGTATATAACACCATACCCTAAACAGTCCAGTTTTTGAACTCATTGAAAAATGATTCAGCTCTGAATGTCTAGGATAAAATGACAACGGAATTCATAGTAAACGGTGATACCAGCTAACTGGGCTTTTGAGAGATTTGCCCTCAAATTTCTTATGATGTGGAAGTAGGCTAATAGTGCTGATCGTTATCTGTACTCACCCTCTCGTTGTGGAAACGTCTCCCAGATCCGCTTACTTGCAGTAAGGCATGTAGAAGGACAAGCGACCTGACGTTGAGAATAAGACTGACTATTGCGTAAAGTAGACATATAGCAATGTATGTGCCCCTGTTAATCTGGAAAAGGCTCACAGTTCTCACTTTTCAAATATTGAAGTATCCGAGATTTCCACTCTTCAAGTGTGCTCACGTTTAATGATTCTCCATTCCCACTGGATGATGGATGGGGATACTACTGTATATTACGCCGAGTATATCAGTGTGTGTGGATGTCTGTCACAAATCACTATTGTTGGCTGACAAGTACGAGGCGTTTCAAGCGCTGAAGTCCTGCGGCCTGTGCCCTAATCAGCTATGGTACCTGGAGGGAAATCACCATTGGTGCTGAGCAGGCCACGCCGCGTCGAACCAAGCATGGCCAAAACAGTCTTGTTCGCCATGGAGGGAAGGGAATCGTGTTATTCATGAGGCGAACACACTTCCACTGAGAGAGGCTCTATTAGTACGATTCACACTGGTCATTCATGCCAAACTAAGGAAATGCTATACGTAGTCTTCGATAAAAGGGAATCACGGTGGCGTTTCTCCACGCTCTAAATACAGGGGGGGGGGCAAAAAAAGTCACTTTGCCTCATTGACTTTCGAGGCGCTATAAGTTACACTTTATCAAATTCTGATCGGACATTTTTACTACCATATTGAAGAGCATATTAAGTACTATCACGACACTCCGCCACAGCCTTCTGGACGAGCGCCATCGAGAGATTCTGGCACGCGACCGCGATGTGGTACCTGAGATCAGCGGGGTAGTCGATTTCTCCGCCACCGTAGACCACCCTATTGAACTCCGCCCGAACTAGGTAATTGAGTGGGTTCAGGTCAGGGGACATACTTCAATATTACATCTTCTTCAGGTACGAAACGCCCTTCCATTCGAAGTAGGCGGGAGTTTTTCCAAAACCCTTCGATTCCATGTGGTGGCACCCAAACCTGTAGCAGCACAAGGTCTCCAAGAAGGTACGGGCGACCACATGTAGGGAGGATATTCTTCTCGAGTTACTTGATGTAACCGCCAGCGCTCACCTTCAGTCGGGGTCTACAAAGAAAATATCGGTCTTCCCATTCCAGGTACCCCGGTCCATACCATCAACTCGCGCCTCGGCGACTACGGTGAAGATGATGTCCTAGACCGTAGCGACGTTGACGAGCTGCTCGATGTTGGAGGTCATCCAGATCGAGAGTACTGGTCTCCAGGTAGCTATCCATGGGTGACTCCATACTAGAAGTTTCGCAGCTGTTTGGAGGTGACATGAATTCCGAAGGTCTTCTCCAGTCAGGCTGCGACTGGAGATGACTTCATATTTTGGTGTACATGAAGGTGATGGGCGAGAGCCAGCTCCTGCTTATAGAGGAACATCTTGGGTATCTTCCGCCCTGGTACTCGTATCCACGTCCTCTGTCTGGGCTGCGAAAACTTTGCTGATATGTGACTCGGTCAAAGTGACTTTTTTTGGCCACCCCTGTATAGCAGCACTTCCGAGGGGCAACGCCTTCATATATCCTTTAGAAAGGCTTGGGACAGATTAGAAACAGATCTGAGATCAACGTTAGAAAAGAGATCTAATGGCATGAATTGCATCACAATAATGAGTTCTGAGGTCCTCCTCTAGCAGAGAAGATATAGCTCGTTGTAACTGAAACTGACCAGATCGCTACGTCTATCAACACCCATATACAAGTAAGTACCATCTTCATTTTGGATGAAAGTATTTTCTGATATGAATAGGGGAATGAAAGCTGCAAAGGCACAGCCATATTGTAGTCCTATTATAAGACGTACATTTCTTCGATTCCAAACCTAAATTGAACAATAAAAGACACTTTCCACGCTCATCGTTTAGGCGGAAACATCCAATTCCCCGACTCCCTTATTGAGATGTTCCTCCTTCTGAGACTGGCAGGAGTAGAAACGACCTAACAAGAAGGCACGGTGATTGGATACTGGCTGGATAATGACTGGATACCAAATAAAGATACTTTTACAATCGTTCAGTGCAGTGAATTTTGACAATGCGAAAAGTAGATCAGAAAACGTTGATAGGTTTACAGTGTCACTTCGGAATACAACTTGGACGATTCCATTTCTGAATAACCGGTGAGCCACTAACCTTTTCGTACCGCTCTTTTAGACGAAGCGCGGAGTATCGATTGACTGCGATGAGCATATTTCCAAACATATGAGCAGCAAAAGATGAGCAAGCAATTACACTAGCAACTTGAAGCAGAGGCCCAAATTGTGGACCCAAGCCATTAGTTTCGCTGTTGATACGAAATAAACAGAAGAGTGAAACAGATGTCACGTCAGCGATCCCTAGGCGACAATCAATCGTGTTTCATCTTGCATTAAAGAACATTTTCGGGTCTCTGGAGCGCAAACAGAGGTAAGTTTAAAACAGAGTTCGGAAACACTCAGTTCACTTCTTTGAGTCGTGATTATTCTGGTGTGGTCACGATGTAGTGTGAATTTTACTCTTCAGGTGCTAAATGGCCGATAACTTGAAAAAGCCGCTGAAAACATCCCAGTTAAGACTACGCATACTGCACGTGGTTTTGAGCATTGCCACATGTTGCTGGGACACGTTGAAGTGCGGTATGCTGCAACGCTCAAAACAGTGAAGATTAAGTAATGAGACGATCAAGTGGAACATACACAGGACGGCCATTGTCCGCGCGGCGTATGTAGTTCGGTCTTTGTCATCATCAATTAGGCGTGGACCTAACTACTTCATAGGGTACCAAAGCGCTTGACATCTTACCGAAGGTAGTGCACTTTCTGTAGTTGCACTAATTTCTTTGCGCTAACGGCTATCTCAATCAAAAAAAGATTTTGCATCCAGATTGTGCTGGGCCATGTTTCTACTGCTCACTCATGATGAATCGTCTTCATTTGTGAGGAGCCTTAGGAGCGTTCATGCTCTCTATGGAATACATCTCTTTTTTCGAACGTGAGCTCGACAGCTCTATTGAAGCACGGCTTCAGAATGGACTTTTTAAGGCTCCTAACTGATGACGTTGTTGTCACTGCGCACCATTTTCCTGTGCGAAAATGCGGAGATGCTCGACCCGAGAGGCATTTTGCGCCAGCTCCTTTTGCCACTTCATGTTTCACAAGATTCACTTCGGTAAGTTCTCTGAAAGAGGCATAACGCTTCTCAGTGTAAGTGAACGCGATATTACAGTTCTACTCCTATAGCATGATAGTGCCCACTTATGCTTCTGCTGAATTTTAGCACCTCAAATGATTTTAACGTATCTTACCTGTCGCCACAAACATGGAGTAGAAAGGGTTCTTGAAGACGCTCAGCTTAGATGAGATAATAATGAATAGGACAAACACGTAAATTAGAGCAAGCGTGACTTCTATTATTGTTTGTGGCACGTTGAACATGATGTCTTTAAGCCTTCGGTTTCTGAAACAAAACCCTATTATCAATAACCCTCTTCATGTGGCATTATTACATTAATACGACCTCGAAGCTGGATCTTGATGAGGCTCTCAACACAAAGGTATTCAACCTCCTCCCCCCCCCACCTAGGATGAAATCACATCTGTTTTCAGTTAGCTATCTCTGTGAGGTTCTGTGTATAGGGTACGCTAGGTCAGCCCTTTCGAGTTCCTTTGCAAAGCAACGTCATGGGTACGTGGGCAAGAGTGCTGTTGACAGATAACGTGTTCTGGGGTACAGCCCAAGAAGATTAAGAAGGTTGACTACTCGAACTTTTGCGAATCCTTCCATTGCGAAACCCTGTAGCGCAGACAAAGCGCCCTGCAATGATTTCGCGTTACAGCGTGTCGACGCTCATCTCATGAAGTGTTAAAATTCGTCGAGCGACTTTTCCATTCCATAACACGTGTTTCTGTAAGGCCACTTTGTCTAGGCGAGGGAGCTAACACCTGCGTGGCGAAGTCTGCTCTTCCACGTGGTGCTCCTGGTACTACTTGTCCCTACGAGCTAAGCTGATAGACACTCGACGCAGGTAACAGGCCTTCGTGACGGGTCGGTTACAGTCAAGTCACATCACCAATGTTCAATATGCCATATGAATTCCGAATCAATGCTACGGCGTCCGCGGGAGCCGACGCGCACTCGTATGGCCCGGCGAGTGTGGAAAGTATGCGAGGGTCCCTGATGCAAGGACGGCATCGGGGGCAACCAGGCTAGTTCAAAAGTCATGCAACATGGAAAAGGTCCGCGTAGCAACGTTGAATGTTGGAACGCTGACGGGGCGCTCTGAGCTGGCAGAGGCACTGGAGCGCAGACGTATAGACCTGTGTGCTGTGCAGGAAACAAGATGGTCCAGTTGCAAGTCAAGGGACATCGGTCGAGGCTTCAAAGCCCTTCTGTGTGGCAAACCAAAAACCACCAACGGAGTGGCTGTAATAGTCTCTCAACGTTTCCGGGACTCGATAGCAAGCGTAGAACGCTTCGATGACCGCCTGATGAAGATCGTTATTGCTATCGAACAGCGGCTGTACCATTTCTTTTCTGCCTATGCTCCACAGACGGGATGCTCCGAGCGATCGGACGGGTGGGTGCGCATCCTGTACTCCAGCTCAAAGAGCCGCGTGCAAGCAACAACAGGCACTTCTCAGGAATTTCCCATCACGGTCGGGGTACATCAAGGCTCTGCGCTCTCCCCACTCCTTTTCGTGGTCGTCTTGGATGCAATCTCGCGAGATCTTCAGAAACCTAGTCCTTGGACGCTTCTCTACGCAGATGATGTGGTGCTCGCCAGTGAAGATAAGAGCGAAGTCGAGCAACAGGTGCAAGCTTGCTCTGATGTTGTGTGGACACTAGATGTTCGTCGTCAACCGACGCGATATTCGTGCGCAGAAAGAGAAATTACTCGGCAATCGATTTCTCGAAGTTCAGACTCAGGCTGAACATCAAGAAAACCGAGTACTTGACGACCGACACAAATGAGTCCGATTCCATTAAGATCAGTGGCATCGAGCTCACACGCACAAGAGCCTTCAAGTATCTTGGATCAGAAATTGCTTTGATGGCAGTCTGACCTCAGAGGTGAACTCTCGTGTGAGTGCAGCATGGGCGAAATGGCGCTCGATGACTGGAGTTCTCTGTGACAAGACCATACCAGAGCGCCTCAAATCGAAGATCTATAGAACCGTGATCAGACCAGTAGCGTTGTACGGGACTGAGTGCTGGCCTGCAACCAAAGAAGTCGAAGCCCGCCTTAGTGTGATGGAGATGAAAATGCTACGTTGGACGGCCGGTGTCATGGATCGAATTTGCAACGATGACATACGCAAGAAGCTTGGCGTAGCTTCCATAGCTGATAAAATGCGAGAATCTCGTCTCCGATGGTATGGCCACGTACTTCCGCGCGAATACGGACAGCGTCTGCAAGACTGGTCTCCAGCTCGAGGTGCTCGGCAAACGACCTAAAGGACGCCCTAGGCAACGTTGGCTTGACACGCTGCACGCGGATTAAAGATAGTTGGTGCCCACCCTGATCAGGCATTCGACCGGGAGAAATGGCGTACCAAAATCAGAAGAGCGGACCCCGCCACAGAGCGGGACAAACGCTGAAGAATAAGAAGAAGAAGGAGTTAATACCTGCGTTGTCTTCAGGAAAGATGCGTTCGCCATGCCACAGTTTTCCGTTGGTAGCTGCGCTTGCAGGCTGAAGATATTTTAGTCGAAGAAGGCAACCTATAGATGGGCCAACCGCATGGGATGGCGTCGTTTACCTTACCCCCTTGGGGCGCAGTCCACATCAGTAACGCGGCAATATCCCTAGGCTGCTCCAATTGATAACCATCATGCTTCTCGGTAATCCAGTGATCGTGAAATTTTTCGTGAAGAAAGCCACATGAGTTGCATCGGCCTGACAAAGCGCACCGAATGGTAGGGGCTGAGTTCTCTCTTCTTTATTCACGCTGGAAGGACTCTTCTGAGGGAATCTGAACATTTTGTCAGCAAAAATGGCTACCCTGAGCTGGGGTCCATACATATTTTGTTTCACTTGTACCCATCTGCGCTGCCTCGGTGATGGGGTGCAGAGAGCGTACGCGTCACCACTTATCGAGGGCACTAATGTTCCTGACATTTCTAGTGGTGAAAAGCGATGTTGTTTGACGACTACGAATAATGAAGTACTCCCGGACACCCTGTTGCTTTGGGAGAAGAACGCAGAAGCACGAAAAGAATATTAGAAGTATAAAGATAGCTTGTTCATTCCGGGTAGGTGACAAGAGAATCGTAATTCACCGCGCTGGTGGGCGTCGCTGCGACGTCGCGCCCGCAAATGACGATGGTTCCAGGTAGTAGATGGCGACAACAGGCAATTCAGGACGGAAAATAGTTGTGAATGAATGTCTACGACGGGGTCTACATGAAGTCCGGTGCTACATCGACAGTTAAACAAGTTGAGAAGACGCCGCGCCCATGGCCGCGCGCGGCTGAGCGGCAAATTACGATTCTCTTGCCCGTCTCCCGTTCATTCCGAGGTGACTTAATGGTACTCGAAGAACCACTGAATGAGTGCAGAGCATCAGAGTAACATCTTGTTTGCTAGCCATAGGCAGCCCAGCTGTGAGAAAACTGTTGTCTAACTTGGGATGTTTTGCGTTATGTCTGTTTTTTTGCGCACGATACACAACGGTGTTGAAAACAAATTAATGTCGATTCAAAGTGAATTTCCTCATAAAGACGTCTTCTGATTGCTGCAAAAACACTGAGTCGCAATCGCAACTCCACTCAATTACAGCAAGAAATTCCGCAAAGATGGTAAACGTAAGGTTTTTTCGTAACTAACGAAGAAATGTGTCGCGTTGATGTGAAGGTTGCCCGGGTTGGAGTTGGGCATTCTGCACTTTCGCTATCTTGTTTTCCTGGATCATGTCGAATTACTCGCCTAACCATAAGCATTGCAAAATCTAAAGAATATTATCAAATGAAAACGATACTCATGCTATCGTTCACATCACAAGAATTTGTAGAAAGCTCTTCATGCGGGTCCGAGGGTCAAGACTTCTGCTTACAACTCATCACTCTTGTAATAGCTTTCGCAGCGCGTACTGCGGCCTTGGACAGCACTTATCACTGAAAAGACTCCAAAAAATTTACCATTCCTTTTTAAAGAGAGAGGGAGGGAGTTGGGGTGGCTTGCTAAGAGGAGCCGAGTAAAGTAAAAGTTTGAAGAGGGTTTCGTGATCTTTAAAGAGGGGTCAATTCGAATTCTACTGTAGTTCTCCTAGTCACAGACTGTTTTAATGATATTACACAATGATTAATTTGCTTCATCTGCTTGTTTGTTTTATTTTCTATTTGTCAGGACAATCGGTCCCACCAGAAAAACAACCTGGAGAGGTAGTGTCAAGGTCGACATGGGTCGGGCATGGGACATGATGTGAAGAGCACTCGTAACTCATGCTAAGCCCCGCAACAGCGGGGGCGGGCGTGACCCGAAAGCTCTGTGTCACTGAAAAATCCGTTATTCCAGTCCGGCAGCAGCTCCGAGATGAGAGGAAAGTGGAGC